TGTTCCACAGATACTTTCTTGAGGTGGAGTGTCCCAGAAGGGACCCAGAGGGCCAGACCGAGGAGACCTCCCATCAGAAGCACTGTAGGAACGGTGTGGCCCGTGGGACTGCTCAGAAGGTGCTGCAGAGTGCGAGGCCTGGGGTGGCGCCCCAGCGGGAGGAGGCATCTGAGATGTGACCTTGGGGAGTGCAGGACTGGCAGGACACAGCGGCCACGTCTCGGCAGGAGCTGGCTCTGTGTCAGATGGAGTCCGGTGGGAGGTCAGGCACTGTCTTGGGTGGTCTTTCATGGCAGATGTCAAGGACGAACACGAGAGGAGGGTGCTTGGGGCCACTGGGCGCTCTGGTCCATGCTGTGTGTGCAGCCTCGTGGGGGTGCAGCCCTGTGGAAGCAGAGGGAGCTTGGAGAGGACGGGGCAGGCAGTGAACACATGAGAGGAAGCAGGTCGCACGTGGAGCACAAAGAAGAGAGACACCACAAGGGGCGGGTTTCCAGGCGGGGTGTGGAGAATGGGGAGCTGGAGCATTGTGTGACACACTCTGGTCTTTGGCTCCAGACCTCTGAGGTTAGCAGCCTGCCTTGCGGTGCAAAGCAAAACCACGACCGTAAGGAAAGGCCAAAAAGAGATGTGTTTAACAGAAAAGGGCACCACGAGGCCTTTGGGTGGGCACGCTGTTAAGCAGCGTCTGGAATGGGTTAGGTCTTACTGTTATTTCGGGTCCCTCTATGAGTGCTGGGGCAGGGTGTCCTGGTAGCCAGCTCTTTTGTTTTTGTGGGTTTTTGTTGTGTCTGTGACTTTAGTCCAGTAAAGGAGCTTGAGTGCCTGGTTAGGGCAGTATGTGCGTGTCATGTCCAGTGTAGACTCCATAGGAGCGGGCATGTGCATAGGGATGACTTTGTACAGTTTGTTGCCCCAAGTGGGAAGAACGCATTGACCAAGCATCCCAAAGGATGTCCGTGTGCCCTTGTGGAAGGCAGAGGAAGAGTAGTCCTCTCTGGGTCTTGGAAAATGCACACCTTTAGCAGTGAGGAGGAGTCAGCTGAGGAGGGCTGCAAGGAGATGGGCCAGGAAGTCCTGAGAGGCGGGCGGGCAGCTGGGGAGTGGGCTGCAGAGGGGCCTCACTCACTGCCCAGCCCCCTCCGAGAGCTCTCCAGACGTCCTCTTCATGGCCGAGCTCATGGCAGACTGATCCTAGCAGTGGGAGGGGCGGCAAGTTCGTTTCTGGCTACTCGGTGTTTCGGCCGGGGTGGTCGTGCTAGCCCTGCGCAGACAAGGTGAGCGTGAGGCCATTTTCTTCATGCCAGGAGGGTCCACAGGCTCCTTTCTTTGTGCTTGGTTCCTGTCCTCCAAGAGGGGGCAGCAGGACTCGAGCCGCGTGAGGGCTGGCGAGGGCAGAGCGGCTGCCCAGTACTTGGAGAGACAGCGTGATGAGGGCAGAGCGCTGAGCTGTGCGTTCGGGTGGCCTGGATCTGTGCTGTCTTTCCTAGTAGGAAAAAGGCAAACCTGCTGTTCTGTTGTCCTTGCAAAGATGAATATTTCTCTCTTTCTTTGAAGTTTTAGTTTTGCTATGGGGCATGTGCATTCACCAGAGAGAGGAAAAGTAAGAAATGAGCCTCTACAGGGATGGTCGCACCCACTGCAGTCCTCTCTCCACTCTCCTCTTGGCATTTTAGGCATGCACACACATGCATCTGGTGCCCAGTCTGGGACCTGAATCATGCAGTTGGCCATGTGGGGTCTAGCGCCTGCTGGCCCTGAAAATTAATATTTCTAGGCATGAACATTCAATGTGAATTTAGGTGTTTAGTCTGTGTTATGCTTTAGTGACGTGTCACTGAAACTTTTATATCCCTTAAATGAATTATTTTCTCTCAAGTCAATAAAAGCTTATTAACTAATTATGAAATGAAGCGTTACTGACATTTTCCGTGAGAATTTCTGTCTGATCTTGAGAAACATTAACGTGCAGTTTTTTATCAGATGACTGATACATTTCTTTTTACATTTGTTTGTGGAGCAGAGCTTTCGTGGAGTTTTCACGGAATCCAACAGAGAGATTTAGGACTCTTCCTGCAGTGTACATGGCCATAAAGATGTCTCAGCTCAAAGTCTCACTGGAGCTCAGCATTCATTCCGCGGAGGAAATTGAAGGGAAGGTGCAAGGAGGGACTGTCTCAAAACTCAGGAACACGAGGTATTTTCAGAAGGGAGTGTTACTGAACTCAAACCAGGTTTGCTCGCCTGTGCGGGTCAGACTGGAGATCCGCGTGCAGAACAGGGGACGCAGCCGGCTCATGCTGGGAAACCCGTCCTCCCCGAGTGGCTCTCCACGCACTCTTCTGAGGGTGGAACCGGGGGTAGAGGTCTCAGGCGCGTGACGGGTCTAGAGGGCACGGTCTCTCCTGGGCCTCCTGGGCTGGCTGGCTTTGTTTCGGTGCTCCGTCTCCATTCCGGGTGGGGTGACCACCAGCTCTCTACCACCCAGCCCGAGCTCTGTGATGTGCACGGCAGTGATTAGCCAGTGGACACCTTGAAGTTTGGCCCATGACTGTTCTGCCTGTCGATTACCGTGGGCCTTGTTCACTCACCAGAGAGACAGACGGACGGGAGGGGAGGGCAGTGAGAGATCACCCCCGAGGGGATGGCTTCCCGCAGTCTCGTCTCCTTGCAGGAGTGTGGGTGCACACGCACACATGCCCGGAGGGATTCTCAAGCTGCCAGGTGTGGGAATTGAACCACAAAGCTGGCTATGTGGGATCCGGTGCCTCCGTGTCACCTGCCGGCCCCTGTTTCTTACTGCTTTACAAGACGAACGATATTTACTGGTTTATGAGAACCGTGTGTTTTTTCTGGCATAGCATTGAGTCAGGTGTGGATTCTTGTAGTTTTTCTAAAAGTCATAGCCTCACTTCCAAATTCACAATTTAGAAAACATCGCAGGTCCTTGGTGAAGACGTTATACCCTTCAAAGCAGGTGTTTTGTAAGAATCGTGGCCTTGAGAATGTACCCAAAGGGTTGTGTATAACTTTGCCATTGCCAGAGCAACTCAGAAAGTCACGCTTGAGATAAAACCCAGTTCACCATCTCTAGCTTAGGTATTTTGTTAAAAATGTTTCTTCTTTTAAAAATAATAGTTCAAGTAATAATCTCACATATGTAAATACATTTTCTTTGTAACACTTGATTTTTGTCTTTTAAAAAAACGCGTGTTGTGCAGAGTGAATGTGGACTTCCAGAAGCAGACAGTCGGCCCCGTGCCCGTCTCAGGTAGCACGGTGGACGGGCCCCAGGCCGCGCCAGAGCTGCTTTTGACCATTGACGTCACAGAGGTAGGAGGCCCAGCCGAGGCACTGGGGCTTCTCCTCTTCTTCATCTTCAAGTTACGTACGTGAGATACATTCCCACACATACACACACACACACACCTGTGCACCTGAGTAATCAGGTAAATGGACCGGTAGATGACATGGTGGCTGTGTTGCTGAACTCCCACATAGTTGACTGTGGTTCAAGTCCTGGACCTGCCAGCTTAAAAAAAACTCCTGCCAGGTATGTGTGCATGTGTGCTTGTGTGCCTGAAGTACCAAGAGGGGGCAGAGGAGAAGGAATTGTGGCATGGCCATCCTCACTGGGGCATGACTTCTCATTTTCTGTCTCTCTGGTAAGCATACATGCCATATAACAAAAATCTCTCTCTCAAAAAAAAAAAAAAAAAAGAAAAGCCAGGGGAGCTTGTGGGCGAGCTTGAATTACCAAACTTGTTAAGTTGAAATGTGGCTAAAACAGAAAATGTTAGATGTCAAGTACATTGAAAATGCCCAAACCATCAGATTTAATCAGATACTTACTAAGGGTGTTAATGGGCACAATGGCACATACCTGCGCTACTCGGTCCATTTCAGGAAAACCAGCATTGGCACCGTTTTTATTTAGGTATTTTTTAAATTGCCACAGGACACTTTCTCTCTTGCCAGAGAGAGTCAAGGGAGAGACGGAGAGGGAGAGGGAGAGGGAGAGAGCCCCTCTGATGGGCTGTGGTCGCACTGTGGTCCCTCTCCCCTACTCCTTCGTTGCTCAGGATTTTGGTCACACATGCAAGACGGAGAGCTGTGTTTTTCTTTTTTCTTTTTCTTTTTTTTTTTTTTTGGAGAGGTTTTTGCTATTGGGTGCGTGCGCTTGCCAGAAAGACAGAGACAGAGAGACAGAAAGCAAGAAATCACCCCCAGGGGGGATGGCCACACCGCAATCCCTTCTCCATTCTCCTCTTGGGATCTTGGGCACTCACACACACCCACCCGTCGTGAGTTTAAGCCACCGGGTCCGGGATGCAAACCACGGTCGGCTACATGGAAGTCCAATGACATAGCCATTACGCCAACTGCTGTTCCTAGCACATGGTGTTTTTCAAGCCACCTGGACCGGGACTCAGTGGTTGGCCATGTGATGTGAAGGTGACTGGATCCCACATGGCTGACGGCGTGGTTTGAGTCCCAGACCTGACAGGTTAGAAAACACACGAGGCTTGTGTGCACGTGTGCCTAAAATCCTGAAAGGAGAACTGGAGGAGGAGGGATTGTGGTGTGGTCGTCCTCCTTAGGGGGTGCTTTCTCACTTTCCCTCTCTTGCCTTCTCTCTGAAAAGTGCATGCACCCTATAGCAAAACATAAAAACATTTTTCAGTGAACATGCGTATATGGTTCCTGATAAATCTGTAGCTACACTCATTGGGACTGTCACATAGAAGTCTAGACTCCAGACAGATTGGAACCCTCTGGTGCTGGTGGGCCCTGGTCTGTCTCCCAGGGCGGGTGGTAGAAGCTGCTCTGCGGCACCCTTCCTGGTAGGGCCACTCCTCTTGCACTCCTCCTGTTTACTCCTGCCCGGCCAGGGAGCTGTACGTTTGTACCTGGCCCTGGCCAGCCTGGAGGGCGGCGACAGGCCCCCACTCTATGGTCAGCACCTGGGGATAAAGATGAAGGGGTCTCGTAGGACCTCTGGGAGGCCTCGGTGTGAGGCTGACGTGCGTCAGAATGAGCACGAGCTCTGGGTGTCGTGCCTGGGGGCCTCTGCTGCCAGAAAGGGGCACGTTGCACACAGTTCCTCGCTCTGGGTGGCCCGCTGTGTTTTCTCACAGCCCCGGTCACGAGCCTGTAGAGTGCCACCACGCCCAGGAGCACAGCTCGTGAGGTTAGGGGGGTCGGACAGCCCTGCGGTCTGAGAGACATTCTAGTCTTCACCGCTCCTCCTCCTCCTCCTCCTCCTCCTCCTCCTCCTCCTCAGGTGGTTGAAGTAGGACACTTTTGGGGATATAGGATTGATGAAAAAAATGCAGAGATTCTGAGAAAGCTTACGGCTGAAATCAACCGCCTGAAGCTGGTGCCCTTGTCTGCTCACCCGCACCCAGACCTGGTCTGTCTGGCCCCGTTTGCGGACTTGGACAAAGAAAGCTACTTCAGGGCTCAGATCCTCTATGTCTCCGGAAGTTCTGCTGAGGTACGCCCCCGTAGCCAACACTGAAGGGAAGCAACACGGCTTCCGGTTCCCAGGAACCCTTTCGTAATTAGAGGTGGAAAGTGGATCTGTAATCATCACCATCGGGGAGCGGACGTGGCTTGAACCGGTGGCTCTGAGTGCTCTGTGGCCGCAGCGTGGAGGCCGCTGACGGCTCATGGCCCCCGCACGGCCCTGCACGTTTGCTTTCTCCCCCAGGTGTTCTTTGTAGACTACGGTAATCGGTCTCATGTGGACCTACACCTCTTAATGGAGATCCCCTGCCGGTTTCTGGAACTTCCGTTTCAGGTGAGGTGGAGGAGGTGCTGTGGGATGACTTGCGTGCAGGGAAGGACTGGAGGTCAGGTAGTGCCCTGCAGTTCCCAGCTGGGCCGAGACCCGGAGCAGGGGCGGGACTCGCCCACTGCCAAGTGTGCCTTTCCTTCTAAGACGTCATGCTGTAGGCGTCTCGCCAGTGTTGCTTCTGGGTCAGCTCAGGCACAGGGAGAACACCCGGGTTTGCATGGGAGTTGTCTTCGTCCAGCGATTTTTCTTTCTGTGAAGTTTGCTGCTACTTCTGAGAGAGAGGAAGCAGGGCGTGCATCCCCAACAGGGCCCTCATGCTGGGACCCACCCAGTCTCGGCCAGCCAGACCAGGGCATGCGTGTGTGTGCCCGGAGTGCAGAGGTCCTGGGGTACACGCGCTGGGCCACTGCCCGGCCCTAGTTCCACAGTGTTTGCTAAAGCCACTGCTCAGGCTTCTGGTCACGTTGAAACCACCCAGAAGTTGGGTGGCTGGAGACATGTTCACAGGTACCCGTCCCGTCAGCAGAGAAGCAGTGTGAAGTTCCTCTCCACTGTGGTGGTTCTGATAAACCAAAACCAGGATCGGGCCGCCTGTCGAGGCTGATCCCGCGTGGCCGACTGTGTCGTTCTAGCCTGAGACCCAGTGACTTGAAAACACACCAGGTGGATGAGCCTGTGTGCCCCAAATCCTGAGAGGAGAATGGAAGAGAAGGGATTGCAGCATGGCCATCCCCCCAGGGGCGGATTTCTCACTTTCCCTCTCACATGCTCACTTTCTTCAGCAAGTACATTTGCCTTGTTGCAAATAAAAAAAACGAGAAAGAAGGAAAACCCAAGCGCCTGTACCTGGGAAAGGCCTGCCTCAGCGCCGTCCCTGCTGCAGCTCTCCTGAGCACCCCGACGGGGACGTGCACGGGTCACTTCAGGGGCACTTGCGTGAGCGTTTGCTTGGCGGGAAAACTTCACACCACACTTTTCTGTCCCGTAGGCTTTGGAATTTAGGATCTGCAAGATGCGGCCCTCGGCCAAGTCTCTGGTTTGCGGTGAGCCCTGGAGTGGCGGGGCCGGCTGGCGGTTCGCCTCCCTGGTGAGTGGCTGTGCGCTCCTGGTCAGGGTCTTCTCTGTGGTGCACAACGTCCTGCACGTAGACGTGTACCGCTGCTCGGGGCTGCAGGCCGCCCTCGACATCAGAGACGTGCTGGTCCAGGAGGGCTATGCCGAGCTCGCGGAGGAGTCCTACGAGTCCAAGGTACGTGTGCTGACCCGGGTGGGGTGGGGTGGGGGGGTGAGAGACAGGCCGGCCGCGGGGTGCTTCTCCTCTCTGGGGGTAGTGGAGGTGGGGTGGGGTGAGGCAGTGTGAGAGGCCGGCCGCGGGGTGCTTCTCTCTGAGGGTATCGAGGTGACCGGCGAGTGCTGCTCTCGTTACTGACATGCTGGAGGTCGTGGCTGTGGCCCGTTTCACGTGCCCTTCGGGTTGCTGGGGTCAGGCAGGGCGGTGGGTGCTGTTCTTGTTGGTCCCACCCAGCTGTTATTCCCCTCCTTGTAATGAAAGTTTGATTTGAAAATGTTCTATATTTGAGGAGTTTATAAAAATGGATTTTGATATTTCTTAGTGCAAGTATTCATAAAATATTTCAAATATTTCAGGCATTTCAAAATTTCTTTCAACTTTTTAAAATGTCATTTCGAAAGCTTTGTTCCCCAGTGTGACGGCCTCGGAGAGGCTCCTTTTGAGTCTGACGTTGAAGGTTTTGTATCCTGCTCATGAAATGTCCGTGGGGACACCAGGAATTGGAGAGGCAGCCTCTCGCAGTGTCCACGTGGAGCAGGTGGCCTATTCTGTTTGCGTGTGGGCAACGCTTCAGGGGATTGTGATGTTCCTGGTGTAAAACAAATGTTGTGTATGAAAAAGCTTTTTAAAAAACACTTCTTCCTCAAGAAATTGTCTTTCTCCTAAACTCTCTAGTGGCCGAAGCGTAGGACAGGCTGCCGTCCCTCCCATGGGACTCCCTGCCCCACCGCTTTGTGTCTTCAGTGGCCTGGATAAGGGACGTCCCGCTCCTGCCTGTGCGGTGACAAGGTGGCACTAGGTCTTTCAGCCTTGCCTTGCCTTTCCATGTTTTTCAGCAAAGCCACGCAGTTCTCAAGGGTCTCTTTTCCAAATCAGTAGCAAACACGACAGGTGGGTTTGTGCCGTCCCCCGTGAAAGACGACGAGAAGTTTCTGATCCGGATTCTGCTAGAGAGCTTTTCTTCTAACAAGCTGGGTACCCCAAATTGCAAGGTGACGTGTGGGGCTTGTTCTGTAGCACATGTTATAACATGTAAATATAATGTAGGACCTAGTGTCTTTTCATGTCTGCGCTGTTCTATAGCACATGTTATAACATGTAAATATAATGTAGGACCTAGTGTCTTTTCACGTCTGCGCTGTTCTATAGCACGCGTTATAACACGTAAATATAATGTAGGACCTAGTGTCTTTTCACGTCTGCGCTGTTCTGTAGCACACGTTATAAACACGTAAATATAATGTAGGACCTAGTGTCTTTTCACGTCTGCGTTGAGAGTTGCCTCCAGTAGTCAGGGTGGCCTTTTTCCTTCCTGATTTTTTTCCTTTTTCTAGTTTTTGCTGTAGGGCACGGGCAGTTGATGGAGAGAGGGAGGAAGAGGGAAAGTGAGAAATCACCCCCTGGAGGGATGGCACGTAACAGTCCCTTCTCCATTCTCTTCTTGGGATTTTGGGCATGTATGCACCTGCGCCTGGTGTGATTTTTCAAGCTGCCAGGTCTGGGACTCGAACTGTTGCATTGGCTATGTGGGATCCAACTGCCTTAACTCCCATGCCATCTGCTGGCCCCCTTTCTTGATTTTTAATGGTGTTACTTTTCTCACAGTGGAGCCTGTATTAATTAGAAGAAGCCATGGGGCTTAGTATTGAGTGGGGTTTAGGCTAGAGCTTTTACTAGTTCTCATGGTGGTGTATTTTAACTCTTTTCTGTGAAGGCAAGGCTACATAGTCACCCGGTCAAAGGAAACACGGCCGCTTCCCCAGGAGCTGGGTCTTAGTGTCCTCCTGCGGCACGTCAGTATAGGAGCAGAGGGTGCCCGCTGCTCGGGGACGGCTCCATCATCACTCAGCCTTGGGCTCAGGCCTGCCCCTTTGACCGGGTTGCCTGCTGCAATGGAAAGAATATCGACTGAGATTTTCTGCACGGTTTTGTTCCTGGCCAGAGGCTTTTATAAATATGTGTAGTGAGGGTGTCAGGGAGATCGCGGAAGGAATCGCTCGCACCCCAGAACTGCCCTCCTCTCCCCGAGTGCTGTGATGATTCAGATGCCTTCTGTTAAATGTAAGCGACTTTGGGGGTTTCAGATGCGCACGAAGTGACCTGCTTGTCTGTGTTGGTGTCTCGTGCATAGGCCGTGCTCCACGGGCCCTTCAACCCCTACGAGCTGAAGTGCCACAGCCTGACCCGGATCTCCAAGTTCAGGTAGGCTCCCACCTTGCCAGGAATGCTGTTCTGACTTCTCCACTCGGAGGCCTCATCAGAGACTAGTCTTCATAGCATAACCTTTCTACCTGCTCCTGGTCGTCCCCAGCTCCAGATTTGGGCATCCCTGCACTCTAACCGGAGAGCCATCCTGTAGACAGCATTTCCTAGTGTCTCTTAGCGGCTCCTTTCTTCTGTTCTTGCTGCGATTGTCTGCAGCAAGTCTGTGAGTCCTGTGAGCCAGGGCTAGTCTGCAGTTCGGAGGAGACAGCAGCGAGCAAAGCGCAGCTGTCCTCCAGGGGACTGCAGTTACAGCACAGATTGGCAAGGGCCGGTCAGAGTCCCAGGGCGTCATGAGAGCGTCTCGGGGCCCTGAGCACACCAGCGGCTTTGGAGGTTTGCCTGAGAAACCCGAGAGCTGGAGGGTGGAGGAGTTAGCCAAGGTGCAGGTGCGGGGTGAGGGCAGTGAAGGGCTGTTGCCGGATGGCTCCAGGGCCGAGACTATAGCCCTGGGTTTGAGAGCTTGCCCTGGTGAGCAGTTTCAGTGAGTGCAGTGTGACTGGGGGTGGCAGGGGCAGTGCAGCTGTGGGGTGAGGGCAGGCGTTATAAGCCACCCTTTGGACTTCACCCGAAGACAGTTGGGAGCCCTACACACACACGTTGTTAAAGGTCCTTTGGGTAAACCCTGGCTTCTAAGAGCCCTCTGGCCAGCAGCAAAGGCTCCCCAGGGAACTGGTCAGAAGTACAGGTGCTCAGCTGCACCTGAACTGTGGAATGAGTTCTCCACTCTCCCAAGAGCTCCAGGGAGTCGGCACACACAGCAAGGTTTGAAGAGCCCCACGTGAGGGGTATTTGGATTTGGGGGTCAGGACCTGCAGGCCGGAGGCACTTCTCAGGCCATCCGTGGGGTGGGTCGCTGTGGGAGAAGGTGCTGGCCTGGGTTTGGCAGGAGGTGCCGAGGTATATAGCTTTGCAAGAAATTTCAGGAGGGAGCACGTGGACAAGCCTGTGCCTAAGCAGACTGGTGACGAAGGGAGAGAGGGAGCCTGGCGAGGCTGCTGCGGGCTCTGCCGAGGGCCAGAGGAGCTGCGGGAGGCCCCGCCGAGCTCCCTGTGCTCAGTGAGCGCTGCTCTGCAGGTCAGGAGTGCAAGGCAGCGGCTGGGACAGAGGCAGAGGCTACGTCCTCAGCCCTCAGGCAACGCTGCAAGCCCAGGAGCAGTGGGGGCCCCAGCGGGGAATTGGAGCCAGAGGGGGTTCGAACAAGGACCGCTCGAGGACACGGTGTGAGGGCCCGTCCTGTGAGGGGCACGCGGGAGCGAGAAGTTTCATGTGCTTTGGACTGTCGACCGTGGTTTTCAGATGGCTGAGCGTTGGGAGGCCCGCAGCCCTGCCTGGTCAGGACCCTGTGGCCTGTCTCGCGCTCACACCCTTAGGTGCGTCTGGATCGAGAAGGAGAGCGTCAACTCTGTCGTCATCAGCGACGCCCCTGCAGACCTGCACCAGAGGATGCTGGTGGCCGCGTCCTTGTCCATGAACGCCACCGGTAGTGCAGCGCTTCTCTTCCTTGCCCCTCGGTCTCCCGACTGCAGTCCTGCAGTCCCGGGATGACCTGCCGACCCGTAGTGAGCCCCGCCTCGCCCGGGTGAGCGCCCACGCACTCGCAGAGCGATGGGCCCTTGATGGCCAGTGCCCGCTGTCATGCCTGGCTATCAGGGAGAATGAACCCAAGCTCTCAGCCCTGGGAGCCACCCCACAGCCTAATGGGAAAGAGGATGCCCTTGGCCTGGTGGCCAGGAGCCAGATCTTACATGTCGTGTCCTGGCCCGGGTGGCCTGAGGATCGAAGCCCAAGCAGGCGACAGGTGGCAGGCGGGAGGAGGGGACTTGTGGTGTGACCCTGTCCCACTGAGGGGACCCTCTGCCCTCTCCCTCTCTGCCTCTGGTGAGTGCATGCAGCTGCTGGCAACATTAGAAGGAGAAGAGTAACCCAACAAAGTGCTCCCCAAGTGGGATGACCACCTCGCCCCTGGAGTGTGGCGTCTGCTTGTGGGGTGCTGTGGGGACTGAAAATGGAGCACTTCACTGTTGGGGCCGGCAGAGGGAACAGTTGGGAAAAGGGGTGCCTGCTCATGAGGGCTGACCAGGCCATGCAGCGGACGCTTCGTGCCTCACGCCGGTGTCGACTGTCCCAGGCTCCACCATGCTGCTGAGGGAGACCTCCCTGATGCCACACATCCCCGGCCTCCCGGCCCTGCTCAGTATGCTGTTCACGCCCGTCATGGAGCTCAGGTGCGTGCATGGCCGTCTGACTTAGCGCAAGCATTGTCAGGTGAGCGCGTCGGCTAGAAAATGGGCACCTGCCTCCCTCCTAGAAGGAACGGCGTAGAACCCAGGCCACAGCCGTCCGGTGGCTCGCCGGCCTCTGGTGCACCCCCTCCCTGTCACCCACCTGGCCAGTGTGCTGATGCTGGGAGCTCAGGGGTGATGACTGAGCATGCAGCATCACATGGGAGCCCGAGTTTACCGCAGGGCTCAGAGCGGACGGGAGTGGGGTGGGCGCCCTGTCATTTCGACCGTGTGACTCTCGGGTCAGCAGACAGCTGACCCAGTGGATGGCCCGTTTGGTGCCAGGATCAAGCAGGGGTTTCTCCCAGAGACCCGCAGCGAGATGGGCGAGGCGGCGGGACAGAGCCCTGTGCACATTCTCGCGGGGCCAGGGGGCGGGAGGCTTGCGTGGCAGAGCAACCAAAGCGAGCTTCAGAGGTGTGGCGAGTTCTAGGAAAGGGGTGTCAGCTGGGCTTCAGGGGCTCACGTGCCCGTGGGTACTGGAAGAAGTTGGGACAGACAGTGCCCTGCAGGCCTGTCGCACTTCAGGACGGGATAGGAGGTCAGCTGACGGGCGGGGGCTGGCTTAGACCTCACTGGCAGTTTGGGGAAGGGGCTGCTGCCAGGGCCTGCTGTTCTTCCGCCCTCTCTGCCTTACCGCCTATCACCCTCAGAATACTTGGTGCTTTTCTCAGTTGTCAAAACACTGTGTTGTTTTCCCATTAAAATATATACTAGAAAAAACGGAATGGACAAAATATTACTATCGTTATTTTTAAATAACACTATCACTTTAAAATTTAGTTGTATGTGTAAATGTAAAGATATTTAGTATATTTTAAATTTTGTTATAGTTTATTTTGATTTTAGATTTTTGTCATGCGTGTTTTACAGATAGAGTAAGCGTTTTCATGTTCTCTGTAAATGCCCATTTAAGTTGTGACACAGAGCACCAGCGGGGCACACGATGGCCCAGGGGACGTCACCCTACTGTGTTCCTACTGGGCATCTGATCTGCAAGGACTCAATGTCCTTCTGTTGTTAGAGCGGCTTGTGGGTGTACCATGACGGTGCGACAGATCTCTGGATTAAGCTGTCTTCAGTGCCCTTGTAGGGACGTGGGTGCATCACACTGCGATTAAGTCGAATAAGGAAGTGTCCCCCCACGGACATAGCAGGGACATGGCTTTAGTCGATGCAGATGTGGCCGTCTACAGACGCACAGAGATGTGGGTAAGCACCTCACAGACTGCCACGCTGCAGTCAGACACTGGCCGTGGAGGACGAGGGTCCTGCAGTGCTAGTCCGCAGTCGAAGTCCTTCTCCTGGGGCTCCCCTCTGAAGCGCAGCCCGAAGCTCACATAAAGCATTTCAGGACAGTTAGCCTGCAGCTGCACTCTATGGAATATGCTGCTTTTGTTCCTGACTTCTCTATCATTTTTTAATTTAATGCCAGAGGGCACGTGTGCTCTCCACAAGAGGGGTGTGGGGAGGAAGGGAGGGAGAAGGAGAGAGAGCCCACCGTCTGCAGGGCGCAGGCACGCTGCAGTCCTCACTCCCTTCCTCTGCCCATCTCAGTTTGGGGCGTGCACCCACACATGCACACACGGGCTGGTCCTGTTTCCAGGCCACGGGGCCAGGACTCACCGAGGTTGGCTGCGTGGGGTGCAGCCACAGCACACAGCCCTCGGCCACTGCTGACGGCTCTGTGGTCTCAATTGTGCTCTTAAGTTCCCTTAAATATTTAGGATGTCCAGAAGAGACGTAACCCCGCAGCTAAGGTTATGTTTATTCACTGAAGATTTAAGGCAGATGATCAAAGATTTACCCTGAGCGTGGACCCTTTCAAGGCCGACGCTGTTAGACAGCCCTTCTCGAGCACACATGTTACCACACCGGAGCGTAAGTCTAAGGCTGGCCGCAGCCCACAGCCGGCCGTCAGCTTGGGGTTGTGTGGCATTCTGTTATCGTTGATGGTAGAGGCCCGGTTAGTCAGCACTTCCATCTTAGAAGGGTATTACATAAGTTGAAATCAAAATAATTACATAAAAATAATGTAGAGGAGCTTTATTTAGAGAGAGATTTTTTGCTATAGGGTGTGTACACTTGCCAGAGAGACAGAAAGCAAGAAATCACCACCACCACCCCCCAAGGGGGAAGGCCACACCACAATCCCTTCACCTCCATTCTCCTCTTAGGATTTTGGGCACACATACGCACCCAGTATGAGTTTTAAGCCACCAAGTCTAGGACGAGAACTGCTGTCTTTGTGGGAGTCCAGCAAAGTAAAGTAACCCTTACACCATCTGCTGGTCCCGAGGAGCTGCTACTGCTGTTTTGTTTTGTTTTGAGAGGTTTTTGCTATAGGTTATGTGTGCTCACTGGAAAGACAGAGAGAGACAGAGACACAGCGAGAAATCACCCCCCAGGGGGGATGGCCACACCGCAATCCCGTCTCCATTCTCCTCTCAGGATCTTGGGCGTGCATGCACATGAGCCCAGTGTGAATTTAAGCCACCGGTTCTGGGACTCGAACCATGGTCATCTACGTTAGAGTCCAGCAATGTAGTCATTATGCCATCCGCTGGTCCCCTGAGGAGCTTCCGTTTAAAAGAACATTGTTCTGATGGTTTTTAAGGTGATGCTCACCTGACTTCTAAGCGAGTCTGGGTCTCTGCCCCTTGAATACCCTTAAAGTGGGATTCCCTTTGATCTGTATTAGATAGAAGGGAGGGTCGGAGGGAATGTGTCTGTTCAGGACCATGAGTATTTGGGACTGTGTAATACACGCACAGGGGACTTCAGAGAGCTTGTGGGATGTTAAATGGAAAGATAGACATAAAATGTATGACCTTCTCAGCATGAGCTCCACACGTGCGGGATGCTTTGGTAAGAATGATACCAGCCACTTAGCCCACCGTGACGGTTTGGTCGTTTTTACATTATCAACTGAAGTAAAGTGGCTGCCCTTCAATGGTTTTTTTAAGATTAGGAAACAAAAAGAAGTCAGACGCAGCCACGCCTGAGCTGTGTTCTGGCTGCCTCATTGGGTCCTGGCAAAGCTCTCAAGTGGCCTCGTCTCGGAGAGCAGCAAGCCACAGCGGATGGTGGTTCTAGCAGGATGCATGTCGCTCGGAAAGGGGCTCTCAGACTCCCTCGTCCTCCGTGCTCCACCTTACAGCAAGTCAATACAACTTTAGTGCAAAAGAACCCGCTGAAATCCATGCATAGTTTTCTTTTTTTTTTTTTTTTTTTTTTTTTGGAGAGGTTTTTGCTATAGGGCACGTGTGCTCGCCAGAAAGACAGAGAGACAGAAAGCGAGAAATCACACACACACACACCAGGGAGGCTGGCCATTCTGCAGTCCCTTCTCCTCCATTCTCCTCTCGGGATCTTGGGCACGCACACATGCCCAGTGTGAGTTTAAGCCACCAGGTCCAGACTCGAACCATAGTCGACTACATGGAAGTTGAGCGATATAGCCCATGCATAGTTTTTTTTCACAATATGCATGTTTATGAACTTGTTAGAAAGGATTGTTCATTTAGTTTTTTTCACAATATGCATTTTTATGAACTTGTTAAAAAGGATTGTTCATTTAATTTTACTGTTTTGTTTTTGTTTTTTTTTTTTAATTTGCTATAGGGCTTGTGCACTTACTAGAGAGAGATGGAGAGAGGGTGAAAGTGAAAAAGCAAGCTGTCAGGTCCAGGACTCAAACCGAAGTCGACCATGTGGGAGTCCAGTGCCTTAACTACCACACCGTCTGCTGGCCACATAATATGCATTTTCCATGAGCTTTTATCTTTTTCTTTTTTAGGTTTTTGCCACAAGGTGTGTGCACTCACTGGAGAAAGAGAAAGTGAGAAATCACCCTGGGGGGAATGGCCATGCTGTAGACCTTTGTCCTCCATTCTCCTCTTGGGGTTTCGGGCACACACACATGCCTGGGTCCAGTACTCGAGCTGAGGCGTCCATCATAGGGGATCTAGCCCCTAACCTCTGTGCCCTGTGTTGGCCCTTCCTATGAGTGTTGTGAAGACGACTCTCCTCGCATTCAGGACTAAGAACTGCTTCAGGTCTTTTTCATCAAACATAATTCACCCGGGGCCAGCAGATGGCGCAATTATTACGTTGCTGGACTCCCATGTAGCCGGCTCAGGTTTGAGTCCCAAATCTGGCAGCTTAAAACTCAGGCTAGGGGACCAGCAGATGGTGTAATGACTATGTCGCTGGAATGCCATGTAGTCAATGGCAGTTCGAGTCCTGGACCTGGCAGCTTAAACTCACTGGGCACGTGTGCGTACATGCCCAAGATCCTGAGAGGAGAATGGAAGAGAAGGGATTGCAGTGTGGCCATCCCCCCTGGGGAATGATTTCTTGCTTTTTGTCTGTCTGTCTCTTTCTGGTGAGCACATGCCCTATAGCAAAAACCTCTCAAAAAAAAAAAAAATCCGGCTAGGTGCATATGCATGTATGCTCAAAATTCTGAGAGGAGAAGGGACTGCATGCAGCATGGCCACCCCGGGGGTGGGGGGTGATCTCTCGCTCTCTGTCTCTGTCTCTCTGGCAAGCACATGCACCATATAGCAGAAATCTCTCTAAAAAAAAAGAAAAATAACAACAAAATGTAATCGACCTGTAGCCTCGGTTGCAAGATGAGTAAATTCTGGGGGTGCTGCGCAGCGTGGTAACGTCACTAATAATGCTGTGTGGTACCCTGGGATTGGCACAGAGGCGAGCTTAAGTGTTACACACACAATTGGCAGTGGTGTGCAGTGGTGGGTGTCTTAATTGACTTGATCATGGTCATTTCACACTATATACATGTGTCAGGATGCCACGGGCACCTTAAATGCACACAGTTTTGGTGTGCATTTTAAAGCTGGGAACAAAACTCGAATTGGTCTTTCTAGGGAAAAGTCTGTTGATTAAGGATCAAAGAAAATTAGCAAACTATTTTAAAGACAGTTGATATTAACATCTGTTCATTTGTTACACATATACTCCCTGAACCTCTGGGCGGAGACATTGGCTTTCGACTAAGTTGGAAAGAGGAGAGAGCGGCCAGGGAGAAGGCAGGGGGCGTTGGGAGGGAAGGCTCCCAGGGAAAGGCTGGAGAAAAGGCTGCAAGGAGCCGCGTCTGGAGCAGGGCGGGGAGAGGGACACGGCCCAGATCGGAGAGACTGGCCTGTGCAGTGACCAGAGGCCCTGGTGTTCCTCGGAGTGCATTTGGAAACTGCCCGTGTGTGCAGGGTGGTGTGGCCGGATGTTGGGAACGCTGCCACTGTCCGCCGTGTGGGCGAATGACCGGGTGAAGCAGAAGTCAATCAGAACGTTGTTCCCCGAGTCTGGGTGTAGAGCAGGAGGTAGCAGTGGGACGGAGGGGATGCACGGGAGGTGAAGGGACAGGAACGGCCATGGATGGAAGAGTGGTGGGATTTTGGTAGAACTGGGGTATGACACATATGACACGTGGTAGGGTCGGTGTGGGAGTTGCAGGTGGGGAGGTGGGACAGACGCCCCAAGGCCTTAGCCGAGCACAGCTCCCATAGTCAGAACAGTGTGCAGCCTTTTACCCAGAAATCTCCCTGGGGAGAGACCGACCCAGAAGGAATTCAAAGGTGGGAGGAGAGCTGCAGGCGGGGGTGGGGAGAGCTGCAGGCGAAAGTACTCTTTCCGTGACCTCGTGTGCCGCAGTGAGAGCACAGGGCTTAATACGGGTTCATAGAAATGTTTATCCTGCCATTTTTTTTTAATATTTATTTGTTATTATTTTTTAATTTGACCAGAAAAAGACAGAAAGAGGGAAAGTGAGAAAGCAAGCTGCCAGGTGTGGAAATCAAACCACAGTTAGCCACGTGGGAATCCAGCACCCTTAACCACTGCACTAACATACCATTCTTATAACTACATATGATCTTTATTTCTTGTGTAAAACTGAAGAAAAACACACAAGTGAAATAAGTTACTGTTCCAGGGCTGACCGAATTTAAGATGGATTTTATGGGTCAATTTGTTGAAATAATGGTTGAACAATTTTGAAGTAATTAACGCTTCTCAAAACATTTCATTTAGGGTGGACGGGGACGGGAAATGCTACACTGGAGTCCTCTGTGGCTTGGGATGGAACCCCACCACAGGGGCCCCCATCCTGCCAGAGCACGACATTGAGCTAGCGTTTGATGTTCAGTTCACCGTCGAAGACATCGTGGAGGTAAGAAAGACCCCTCCGTGCACCGTGGAGCACCCCCAACCCCGTCTCAGACAGCGAATGTGTTGTGAGCCAGGCATCCCCTTTAGTCCTGGAGTTGTCCTGTCTCCCAGTGCAGACTCCCTAACCTGCCTGTCACTCTCACCTCTTGGGAGAAGAGCCAGTTGGCCTTCTCTGAGTCTCCCAGCACATAGAACTGCTCTGGGCCACCGACTCCCACACTGGGGCAGACTCGTCGCCCAGGCTGCAGGGCTTCTGCAGATCAGGCCTCACCCAGTGCCCTTGCAGTTCACACTGGGACGGGGGAAGCATGTCCTGCCCTATCCTCTCCCTAGTTCCAGAGGCCTGGCCGAGCCGAGGCTGCCCACTACTCCAGAACAGTGCCACCCCCGTGTGCCTCCGCCACAGCAGCCTTGAGGGGGACGGGGCGGGTGTGGGCGCCCAGGCCAGGCCTTAGAGACGCAGAGCAAGTGCACAGAGCAGCAGCAGAAGCAGTCTGTGAAAGAGGTGATGGGTGAGCTGAGCTTTTCCACAATTAAAACTTTCACTCTGCAAAAGACACTGTTCAGATGAGTGGACGGGCTGCACCGTAGGAGAGACTGCGAGGCGTGGGTGATGGTGCACCTGTAGCCACGAGCCGGGACCGGTGATACAGAAAGCAGCCCACATTAACAGGGGAGCGGCAGCACACGTGAGAGGGTACTCTGGGGGACCTCAGCATCGTCTCTCTTTAGGAAAATGCAAATTAAGACGGCCTGAGCTGCCGCCGTAAGTGACCCACGAAACTTGCATGTGGCCGGCGAGGGGAGCCTGTGGAGCCGGGGAGTTGGTTACTGCTGGTGGGATGCAGGGCCAGCTCCTCACGGACTTAACGTGTGTGCTGCTGGGTGCCCCGGCAGGCCACCGCAGGGTCTGTGAGAGCCTGGAGGTTGGCCTCCCGTGGGCCCGTGTGCATGCCGAGATGGCAGCAGAGCCCCAGGATGCTCACTGGTGAGGTGCGAGTCAGTGAGGGAGAGGAGTCAGCCAGCCGCGTGATGATACGGATGCGTCTTAAAGAAGTCCATGTGTTTCTTCTGTGAGGGTGAGAGAGAAGGACGAGCACCCTCCACAGGGTCTTGTGCCTCACCCCCTCCAGTCCTGCCTTCTCAGCTGGTGAGAACACAGGGACCGGTGTGTACAGGCGGCTGGAGGTGCACCTGCGTCTGTCAGAGCGTCCCGCGGTGCTGGAGCTCTGCTAGTCGCCCCAGGGTCAGTCCCCAATGTAAGCTCTGCTAGTCGCCCCAGGGTCAGTCCCCAGGGTCCCGGGGAGGAGCTCCGGGTGGGCCCTTCTATCTCAGCACTCCCCGGGAGAACAGGGCTGGGGAAGGAGACCGCGGGGTGGCTGTGTGCTGTAGTGGTGGCACCAGGCAGTGCAGGGGCTCCCGGACAGCTGCGGTGTGGGCGCCGGCTGCATCGTCAGACCAGAGCGCCCCCGGGAGGCAGCGGGGCCTTATACACGTGTTCTGAGCACACAGCCCAGCCGGATGCTGGGGCTCTCAGGACGAGCCTGACAGTGACAGGTCAGACACCCCATGTACAAATGTTGGCCCTCCGTTCTCGGACGGGGCGAGGAACACAGGCGCTTTAGGGAACAGTGTTTAGCAGAGAGGGCGCCAGACCGCCTCTCCGGTGGGTCCTCTGGTGGGTAAGATGGTTTCTTGGGGGCGCAGGTGAGCACTTCTGACCCTGGGCTGGAGAGAGTAGAGACCGTGGGGGCCAGGACTCTATGGGAAGCGGAGTCACACGGAAGTGAGCCACGAACGCTGGAGCGAGCCCCGTGAGCTGGGTCAGGGCCAGGGCATCGTCAGTGGACAAGGGAGAGGACCAGCCACAGGTCAGCGTGTGCCCGTGCCAGCCAGCTCTGAGTGCTCGGAGCAGCGGCCCAGGAGCAGTGAGCAAGCCCAGGGCCCGGCGGTTTCTAATAGGGTCCCCTGGGAAAAGGACCTGCCATGGTGACCTCCGGTGGCCGTTTGCCCAGCGGCCGCGCACAGACCGTCAGAGTCCGTGTGGATGAAGTCTGACAGGACAGCCACAGCAGTGCCTCCTCACCGTTTATTTGCAGATTAATATTCTCAGGGCGACCATGAACAAGCTAGTGTGTGATGGACCAGACGGCTCCAAGCACCTGTGGCCAGAGAGAAGCGCGCAGCTACAGGACAGCGCCCGGCAGAAGCTGCTCGGGTATGTGTACGGTGGGCGGGCTTTCCCCCCGACGGCCTCGAGTCGGACCACTGGTCACGGGGAGCAAACTGCGTGCGGGGCAGTGTCCGGCGGTGGCAGTCCCACGAGCCTGCGAGGGTCCTGGGAGGACTGCCACGCTCCAGGGGGTGTGAAGACTTCGTGTGCCGTCCCTCCAGACGGCAGGTGAGGCGTGGGGACCCACGGTGGCTGCTGCTGCCCCCACCCTGACCGTGGAGCGCTTATGGCCACGCTTGTGCTCCGACCAGGCCCGGAGGCCCAGAGGACCGCCAGGCAGGGATGGGGCCTCTGAGCCTCCCAGAGAAGACGATCTGGGCACGAGTACCCTGGCCTCCCTCTCCTGCCACCCTCTGCCACCCTCTCTTCACTGCTGGATCTTCCGTTGGCCAAACACATCCGAGCACAGAGGGCATGGACTCCCTTGGTGTGGCCCGTGAGCCCAAGTCAGCCTTGAGAAGAATGGGGTGTCGGTGGAGGAGAGGCAGAGGCACCCCACACCCACCTGCACTCCTGTCGCAGCCAGCAATCCTAGGGCTGGGCTGGCCTTTGCTGACAGTGCCCTGTGTGGGTGGGGGCCAGAGCTCTCCCCATCCCTCCGCCTCTCCCTCTCCCCCTCTCCCCCCTGTCCCTTCAGCCCCGTCCCTCATCCCTGGTTACTTCTCTCTCTCTCTTTTTGGCTATAGGGCGCATGTGCTTGCCAGAGAGACAGTGAGATAGAAAGCAAGAAATCACCCCCCAGGGGGGATAGTCACACAGCAGTCCCCTCTCCTCCATTCTCCTCTCAGGGTCTTGGGCACACATGCACATGCGCCCAGCATGAATTTAAGACACCGAGTCCGGGGCTTGAACCATGGTCAACTATGTGGGAGTTCAGCGACATAGCCATTACGCTAACTGCTGGTCCTGGTACTTCTCATTTTGAACCAGAGCTGACAGCCTGCTCTGGTTGCTGATGGCATGGCCTGTCCTTTCTGGGCCTTTCACTCATAACCCACTGGCATTTTTTTTTTTTTTTTAGAGGTTTTTGCTATAGGGCGTGTGCTCGCCAGACAGAGAGACAGACGGAAAGCGAGAAATCACCCCCCAGGAGGAATGACCATGCCTCAATCCCTTCTCCTCCACTCTCCTCGTAGGATCTTGGGCACACACGCACACGTGCCCGGCGTGAGTTTTAAGTCACCAGGTCTGGGACGCGAACTGCAGTCGACTACGTGGGAGTCCAGTGACATAGCCATTATGCTAACTGCTGGCCCCTACCCACTGGCACTTTTAAGTTGCTTCAAGTATTTTTTTCCTACCCCATACACGTTCTCATACTGCAATTATCTTTGTGTCTTTGTGACCATAGTTCCTTTTGATTCTTTAAGCACGATTTGCCTGAGCCTTTGAATGCTCTAGAGTGGCCGCTGTGACGTGTGTGCTGGCCCGCCCTGGCCCACTGCCGGCCGCCGTCACTCACCTTCCCCTGATGTGGCTCCCGTTCTTAGACCTTTGCAGGTCTCCTAGTGTTGTGGTGGAGACTGAGCATTTCAGACAACGTCGAGTAGGGCCCAGAGCTGGCGCTTTTTGCTTGGCTTCGTTTCTCTTTAGGAACCTTCCCAGACCTCGCCCGCCCATTCTCACACAGCTCTTCCCGTACCGTTAGGCCGCTCGTGCCTAGGTTCTGTGCTTCGCTTCATTTTCCCTTAATTCCCATGTTACCGTGAGCCTGGCTTCCGAGGAGTGGTCCTTGTGTGTGTTCCCGTGCTCAGCCAGCGACTGGCCGGCGTTGTGCTTGGACACCCAAGCCAGTCACGCCCTGCCCCCTGCCCCCTGCTCCCTTCCCGGCGCCCGGGCCAGGGCGGGGAGTGTGCTCAGAGTTGGGCAGTTTCAGTTCTTCCCTGCTCGCACCTGGGCTCTCCAAGGCTCCCCAGGTCTCTTCTGTGTGTGCACAGCTCCCAGTCAGTCTGGAGTGGGCTGCAGCCTGGGCCTTCATGGTCATTTCATTTCTGAGATGCCTCTCCTAAATTTCTGGAAGGTCCGTGATCTGCGGGCCCCAGCAGTACCCTGGCCCAGAGCCAGTGGTTCTGTAGGTGTTCCCAGGCCCTGCGGGGAACGGTGTGAGGGCTCTTGGCCTGTCTCCCCTTTTCCTCCCTTTAAGCCAGTGAGCGGCCAGCTTGTCAGGGCTGTGCTGGATGTCCCAGAAAGCAGCCCAGACCGCTGGTGGTGGAGGGCCGTGGCTGCCGTCTGGGAACTCCGAGGACAGGGCCGGCCCACTTCTGGGGTTCCGTGGCTGCCACGTCCTCTGAGCATCTCCACATGCCTGGGTGTGTTCTGCTGTGGGGTGCCTGTGCTCGTCAGAGACAGGGGAAAGGGGGAGGCCCGCAGGGAAAATGGCCGAGCTGCAGTCCCTTCTCCCCTCTTGGTGTCTTGGGCCCACACACGTCCCTGGTTGATCTCCCAGCTGCTGGGTCTGGGACTTGGCCGCACAGTGAAGTTTGCCGCGTTCCAGTTCTGAGGAACGATGTGTGGCAGGTAGACGTCTCATTGTAAAGGGAAAGCACAGTGGGGCTCTAATTGCTAAGGTGTAATTAATACAGTGTCTTCTTTTCACATTCTAGTTTGTTTTGTCAGTCGAAGCCAAGAGAGAAGATTGTTCCCAAGTGGCACGAGAAGCCCTATGAGTGGAATCAGGTGAGCAGGAGGCGGCCCGGGGCGGCGGAGCTCAGGGCCGACTGCTGGGGCTGGGGAGCAGAGGCGTGCTCCACGGTCGGCAGAGCAGATGGGCCGTTGCCGGCCGCAAGTCTGACCTTTCGACCGTGGGGGACAGCGGGCCAGAGCCCAGCATCAAGGGTTTGTGTGAAGACACGACTTTTCGTTCCTGTCACTTGGCTTGTTTCCAGCTTCTAGGTTGTGGTGGCTGTCCTTGTCTATTCAGGTGACTGTGACAAAGTGCCAGGGCAAGGTGGCTTCTGGACACAGACACGGGCATCTCACAGGTCTGAGGCTGGAAGGCAGAGGGCAGGGTGCCAGCGTAGTCAGGGCCGGGGAGGACTTGCAGATGGCCGCCTTGTCACTGTGTCCTCCCGTGACAGAGCAGGGCGTCGATTCCATCATGTCCACCCGAATACCCCACCTAACCCAACTTCCTCCCAAAGGAGCCATCTCCAGCTGCCGCCACGTGAGACGTAGGGGCAGGGGAGCACAGCTACCTGTGATGCAGGCAGGGCCATTCTGGGCTTCTAGACTTTTCCTGTCTGTCAGGCCTAGAGCCAGGACTCCAATGTGGCTTCAGGGAGAGGGGCTTGGGGAGGAGCCTGAGCTCTAAGCCGAGGCACCAGCAGCTCAGTAGCTCCTCTCGCCTTGGCACTGAGAGGGCGCTCTCCTGCACGTGTCCGCCCACACGGCCTGTCCCCGTCTGCTCCCTCAGGGAGCCCTCGCAGTTGTGGAGCCAGCCCATTGTGCCAGAGCTCTGTGCGGGAGCCTGGAGGGGAGGTCATAGCAGCCGCTGGCCTTCCTGGCTCAGCCGGGCATTTGCAGGTGCTATAGTGGCCAGGCTTACTGGGAAGCAGAGCTGCTTTGTAAGGTTGGTGTGTTTTAAAAAACATTAACAAGGACCCGGCAGGTGGCATGGTGGTTAGGGGCACTGGACTCCCACATGGCGGACCGTGGCTCAAGTCCCGGACCTGGCGGCTTGCTTTCTCACTTTCCCTCTCTCTCTCTCTTCCTCACTCTGTCCCTCTCTGGTCAAATTAAAATAAATAAAGTTAAATAAAATAATTCTTTTTTAAAAAGTTAACAATGACGCAGTTATGCTTCACATTTATGTGGGAGTATGTGGGGTTTCTCATTGAAGATTACTGTTTTTTTTTTTTTCTTTTGGAGAGGGTTTTGCTATAGGGCGCATGTGCTCTCCAGAAAGACAGAGACAGAGAGACAGAAAGTGAGAAATCACCCCCCAGGGGGGATGGCCACGCCGCAATCCCTTCTCCTCCATTCTCCTCTCCATTCTCGGGATCTTGGGCATGCACACACACCTGCCTAGCGTGAGTTTAAGCCACAGGGTCCGGGTTCGAACTGCGGTCAACCACATGGGAGACCAGCAACATAGCCATTACGTCAGCTGCTGGTCCCAAAGGTTACTGTTTTATTAACAGGAAGTTAAAATGATTTATTACATTCATACTGAGAAGTGTGGGTATAGAGAAGCATTTGGTAAATATTTTGGAAAGCTGGTCGAATGTTTCCTGCTCGCTCCTATGTCCACGTATGTGTGTGCAGTGCCATGTATTCATTTTTGTTTGTGTCTGGAAAAGCCCATCTCAGGTCTGATGGGCCCTTTGGATTTCCCCAACAGGTGGATCCCAAACTGGTGATGGAGCAGGCGGACCGCGAAGGCGGCAGGCGGGGCGGCTCCCTATACCAGCCCCACAAACTGATCGTGCTGAGCTCCTGAGTGCACAGAGGGCCGGCCTCTGCCTGGGCGCGTTCCGCCTGCCCACGTTGTCTCTGCCCTGTTCCTCTTCCCTCCGGGTGATGGTGGGAGAGTGGCATTTTGTCCAGGTGGGAAGGATTGGAAGTTTTCTTTGAGAAAAAATTGTTCTGAAAAAGTCTTTGTTTGGAAAAAGATCTGTATTTTGCTCGACGTCTATCGGGGTGATGTAAGCAGCTGGTCCTCCGGCTGAGGTTCCAGAAGGCACTTGTTCGCTCAGCTCTGTGACGTGGCTTAACCTGGAGTACAGGGAGACCAGGACTCCGGTTACACCAGGAAATCTGTGCCTGCTGCTGCTGCTGTTTAAACAACCTGTGGAATTTTCTGATTTTGTTTTCCTTGATGGAAAAAGTCTAATTTTGGTAAAACTAACTTTCAGTTTTGTATGTTTTAAGTTTTTAATTAAGTTACAATTCTTGGTCCACACTTTGGAAATCAGAAGCGTTACTTGGGAACTAATTTATCTGTGTTAAAACAATAAAAGCATCAGACAGAGTTTTTGTTTCTGACAGTTTTTAGTCAGAGAAAACTAAAATTTCACCCTAAAAAAATTGGAGTTCATGAAACTGATAAAATAACATGTACCTTTCTGAAAAGTCAGCTCTCGGCTTAGAGCCGCCGTAGGTGGTGCAGACATCTGCCACATGTGAGCGCATGCAGCCAGCAGGGGCAGTGAGGGTCTGGGCCGCCTCGGCCACTGCCCGGATGGACAGGCCTGGACCGCGGAGGACGGATGAGGCGCTCACACTTGCACACGCCCGGGGCCATGAACGGAGCCTGTGCAGAGGTTTCAGAACCGACAGCGGGGCTGCAGGTAGCGGCTGCTGGGCGCGGGCAGGAGCGCGGGTGGCTGCAGCAGCTCGTGTCCTGCACTGCCCGGATCTCCTGACCCGCACGGCCTCCGCCCTCCAGCTGTGCGCAGCTTCCTCTTGGGCCCTGAGTGGCAGCTGGAGGGTCGCTGTTCAGCCCACACAGTACGCCACGGAGAACTGTCGCCCAGACAGGAGGAGGTCTGCGCTGGCCGCACGGCTGCGCGCGCCCCGCAGGCCAGCTCTCCAGTAAGTTCCAGCTCTGCCCTCGGGGCTCTCAGCTGTGGTGCACTGTGTTGGCCACGGTGCGGGCGTGCACAGTGCAGTCTCAGCGGTGCAGTGGGCACTCCTGCTCTTCTCGGGAATCATCCGGGCTCATGCTTGTGTTCTGCCTCGTGTGGGTTCTGACAGGTGCTTCAGCGCCTCTGTCTCTCTCCCTGGGAAATGCCGTGCACCCCTGCATCTGGCCCACGCCCGCTCCCTGCTGGCCGCCAGTGACCCGCTTCCCTCTCCGTAGGCTCACCTTTGTCAGCAGGCAGAAAGTGGGAGTTGAGTAGTATCCCCTAGCCCTTTCAGACTGGCTTTTTTTTATTTAGAGACTTTTTACTTACTATAGGGTGTGTACACTTCCCAGAGAGAGGCAGACAGAAAGCAACTCACCCCCCGCCCCCAGAGGAGATGTCCATGCCGCAATCCCCTCTCCTCCATTCTCCTCCTGGGATTTTGGGCACACATGCACACGTGCCCGGCATGAGTTTCAAGCAGCTAGGTCTGGGACTCAAACCACAGTCAGCCACGTGGGATCTAGAACCTTAGCCCTAGAACCCAGAACCTTCCCTAACACCACCCGCTGGTCCCCAGACTGGCTTCTTTCACTTAGTAATGGACTTACGGTTTTCCACGTCTTTTCAAGGCTTACTAGCTCATTTTTATTGCCAAGTATAATACTGGATGTACCATTTCTTTATCCATTCACCTATTGGAGGACATCTTGTCTACTTCCAGTTTGGGGAAATTTGAATAAGTATACATTGCGTGTACGTGTTAGTGAGGACATGAGTTTTCAACTCCTTTGGGTAAGCATCAAGGAGTGCAGTTGTCAGAGTGTGTGTTCAAAGTATGTTTAGCTCAGAGGCCCCTCAGCTGTGCGCCGCTGCTGACCACAGTCACTGCTCGGAGCCAAGGGCCCTCTGCCCGTGCTCGCCAGAACTTCGTGTGCTGCCAGAGTTAGGGTCCGTTTCTTCAGCGAGCGTGTCTCCTCTCCTGCTGGGCTTACGGACCATTGCCCAAGTGCCAGGCTCCACGGCAAGGATGTTTCCTGTTACATTTGCTGTAGGGATCTGAGAGCAGAATTTGTCTTAATCATTTCTGAATTCAAGCACCTGAGAGGATCGATGAGTGGGTTTAAATGGAATCCACAGTAGTAGCAGTAGAGTGCACGCCTGCTATAGGGCAGGCCAGGTGCAGGAAGCCTGGTAAAGTACGTACTAGGAACAGTGAGGGCCAGCTGCAGGAGGGCCTGGTGCAGGAGGCCTGGTACAGGGAGGGCCTGGTGCAGGGAGGGCCTGGTGCAGGGAGGGCCTGGTGCAGGGAGGGAGGCAGTGACCTGGCCTAAGCTGTGTCGTGGAGCCAGAGGGGAGGAGGTACTCCAGACTCCAGAGGAACTGTATCTGGAGGCCATGGTGACCAACTGGAAGTACCAGGAGTAGTTCTCTGGGGTGTCCGTAAGGCCTGTTAGCTGACGTCACTGCCTCAGTGACGTCTTGTACCCGGAAGACAGAAGGGGAAGAGCAGTGGTGGAGTAGGGAAGGTGGGTCTGAGCTCACAGTCCTCGTAGCAGGTGGAGCTGTGCAAGACGCTGCGGGGCGTTCTGTGGGGCAGAGGGCAAACTTGGAGGAGCAGCAGTCCCCAGTGGGGGCTGAACTAGGTTTTTTTTTTTTGGAGAGGTTTTTGCTATAGGGCGTGTACACTTGCCAGAGAGACAGAAAGTGAGAAATCACCCCCCAGGGGGGTTGGCCACGCCAGAGTCCCTTCTCCTCCAGTCTCCTCTCGGGATCTTGGGCACGCACGCACATGCACCCAGTGTGAGTTTAAGCCGCTGAGTCCAGGACTTGAACCGCGGTCGACTACATGAGAGTCCAGCGACATAGCCATTACCAACTGCTGGTCCCGAGGCTGAACTGTTGGATTTCTCGCTTACTCCACATACAAACCCTGCAGATTTTGTTCAGGCACACCTGAAACTGCCGTGTGTCACCGTCTCGCGGCACCACTCTGGCTACCAGACCTCGGACCCCTCCTGCTCCTGCCCGTCAGGATGCCGCGCTCTTCCTCCCCAAACCTAGGTCAGATCATGGAAGTACGCATGTTTCGCAGCTGTCCCGCGGGAGGGCAGAGGTTCTGGGCTGGGGAGGAAGGCTTTCGATGCGGGGACATCTGTGACCTGGTTTGCACCTGCCAGGCACTGTCTGGTCACAGTGCCGTGCAGGGGCGGGGCCTGGGGGGAAAGACCCAGGTGCAGCCCATGTGCTGGGAGGTAGGGAGGGGAGCCAGAAGGAGCCCTGCATAGCAGCCCTGCGCAGGAAGGCGGTAACAGCCTAGTGGGCCAGCCAGTGGCACGGGGTTAGGGCTGTGGACGTCATAGCCAACCGCACGTGCGCATCCTAGACCCAGCGGCTTGAAAACTCTCACCGTTGGTAATAAATGCACTGAAATGGAGACAGAAGCAAGACAGTTTATTTCCTACACTGTAGGATAAAACGAGGGGCAAAGTCTACTTTGTCTCTGTAAAACAAGGGGCCAGCAGGCGGCATGGTGCTGAAGGTGCTGGACTCCCACATGGCCAACTGGACCTGGAGGCTTGAAAACCACGCCAGGTGTGTGTGCGTATGTGACCAGAATCCCAGCAGGATGGGGGAGGAGTTGTGGCACGACATTGCCCCTGGGGGTGATTTCTCACCCCTCCCTCTCTGTCTTTCCAAGTGAGTGCACTTGCCCTACGGCAGAGACCTGAAAAGCTGACAGACTGGGCAAGCCACGGCCTGGGTGGTGCTGGCCTTGGCCCACTGCCTGCGCTGCTGTGGGGCGTCTCCGCCTCCCCGCCTGCTGAGCTCTGCCCTGCAGCGCCAGTCTGGCCGCCCCCACTGCCTTGGAGACACCCCATCCCCACCACAGCTCTTCCTGCTGTGCCCTTGGGCGCCAGCCCCCTTCCCTCCGTCAGCCGTTTCTTCAGATGCGCTAGAGCCCAGTCTCACCCCAGCGCGTCCCTTTTGTCCCGTTGCCACACTTCCCCTGGGCAAGCCAGCTCCTCCTTTCCACTTCCAGAGAATGCCAGGTGGCTGACCGTGGAGGGACAGGGACACAGCCACCAAGCTTTCCCTGGGAAAGCCGCCTGCCTGTCTTACCGGTCCCCTTCCTGTCGTTGCCGATACCCGGTACCCGGTGCTGCTGGGCAGGATGAGGCTGAGGGAAGCTCCACGTTTATCGGATTTTGCCCCAAAGGACCCGAGAAGTCCCATGGCACCAGTCGTGTTGGCGTCCTCGGACGATTCACACCCTCCAGCAACTGGCTTTGCGGCCGTTTCCTCTTCCCCCACTCTCTGCCCTTTAAAAGAATAAGCCTGAAGCCGGTGCCTGGTCACAGCTTTCTCTGTCAGAGAAGTCGGGCCCACCCGATCCTCGCTTTCCTAAACTTGAGTGTTTTGTGTTTGTTACTGCGTTTATTTCTCACCCACAGCCTTCCCCACTCAGAAGCACGTGTTCAGCCGAGCAGCTCCCGGCACGTACGTGTTAGGTTGAGTGACTCACAGGACCCAGCTTGTGGTGTCGGTCCACCAATGCGCTCTGGCAGAAGGCTGCAGGGACACCAGCAGGGGGTGCCTCACGGGGTGAAGCCTGGCGGAGACCTGGGGCCAGCTTCCCGGGGCTCTCAGTGGGCGGCACGGGACACACAGCTCGCCCATCAGGAGGCCACCCACAGGTGAAGCTGTGGTCCACGGCGGCAGCTCTGCGCTGCAGGCCCCAGTTCTGTTGGCGCTGGTCACAGATGGGCCCTACGCGGTGTGCGCCCAGTTCTGGCCCCTGTGGGGGCTAGGGTCACTCCGGCACAACCAGCTACTCTTACCAACTAGAGTGGCGGGGATGCCCACAGCCCAGGCTCCCGGGTGCCCGCCAGGGCCAGCATTGCTAGCAGCCCCATCTGAGCAGAGCGGAGCTGGGCCCGTGTGCACCCTGCAGCCCCTGCTGTGAGCCCTCTGCCAAGGCTTCCGGACACGGACGCAGTGCGCAGAAGGCAGAGCTTCCTCCGCTCCGGCAGTAAGAGCCTGGAAATGGGGTGGAAGTCCATGTATCAGGTGGGAAAAAGATGTTCTAGAACAAAGGGGTGGGGCCTCTACTTAGTGGGAGAGGCTTCTGTCGAAAGGCATGCAACCTGGGCAGCTGGAAAAGCATAGTTGAGAAGGTTTCACGCCATAATGTAGGTTTTCTGCGGTTAACACAGCTCACACAGCTCAGTTAGGGTCCCAGTCCTGTGTGCCGTTGGAATTGGGTGGACTTCTGTGACAGGTGTGTTACGGACCTGTTAACTTAGACAGGAACATCGAAGCTGCACAGGAACGCACAGACATTTGACTACATAAACGTTAAAACGCACCAAGAACTCCGTGTGGCAAGAACGTTCA